CACGATGGTTAATAACTGAGTCAATTTTTTTTCATCTTTAGCTTTTGATGACAAACTTAATGGAACAGAACCCTGAAGACATGGGAGATCTTTATTTAGATGTAGCTGAAGCTTTTCTAGAGATTGGTGAATATAACTCTGCATTGCCCCTTTTGAGTGCCCTCGTCTGTTCGGAACGGTACAACCTTGCAGTTGTTTGGCTTCGTCATGCAGGTAACTAGCTTCAAAAACTAACAAATCTAAATCTTGTCATTTAAAGTGAATATTTTTACACTCATGTGAAATTTATAGAAGGGTCCATAAACTAAGTGAGTAGTCTTGAGTAAACTTGCGTTAAATGAAGAGTATTGTTCTGCATGTTAGAGAATGAAATTTATCCGTTTTCAATGAATAAGAATTCTGTGTTTAGTTACTTTTATATCCAATGGCAGCCTGCTTAGATGCTTAAACACAATCTAGGTTGATGTTTTACTTCATTGTTGCAGGAATGTTGCAATGTCACGTGATGCCTTTCTGATGAGCTGAGTAACTGAGGACCATGGGATAATATTTCATGAATTTTGACTTTCTTTGTCCTGACTAACATTCAACCCTAAACTACTATGACAAATTGATCATTCATTTCATTACTATTTGTACTGCAGTATGCAAAATAGCTTAATCAAAAATAAAGAACTGTGGATGCTGGAAATCTGAAACAAAAACAGAACTAAGAAGGGTCAGTTAATGGTAGGACCCTGGGGAGTGTTGTTGAACAGCGAGGCCTAGGGGTGCAGGTACCTAGTTCCTTGAAAGTGGTGTCACAGGTAGACGGGATGGTGAAGAAGGTGGTCAGCACACTTGCGTTCTTCAGTCAGAGCATCGAGTACAGGAGTTGGGATGTCATGTTATGGCTGTACAAGACGTTGGCAAGGCCACATTTGGAGTATTGCATACAATTCTGCTGCCCTGTTATAGGAAGGATGTTATCAAACTGGAAATGGTGCAAAAAAGATTTGCAAAGATGTTACCAAGACTGGAGGATTTGAGTTATAGGGAGAGGCTGGATAGGTTGGGGCTTTTTTCCCAGGACCGTAGCAGACTGAGGAGTGACCTTATAGAGAGTTATAAAATGATGAGGGGCATAGATAAGGTGAATAGCCAAAGTCTTTTTCCCAGGGCAGGGGAGTCCAAAACTAGAATGCATAGGTTTAAGGTGAGAGGGGAAGGATTTAAAAAGGACCTGAAAGGTAACCTTTTCACACAAAGGGTGGTGCATATATGGAACAAGCTACCAGAGGAAGTGGTTAGAGGCGAGTACAATTACACCATTTAAAAGATATTTGGACAAGTACATGGATAGGAAAGGCTTAGAGGGATATGGACCAAACATAGGCAAATGGGGCTAGTTCAGTTTAGGAAACCTGGGCGACACGGATGTGTTGAGCCAAAGGGTCTGGTTCCATGCTGTATGACTGTAAGGGTCACTGGCCTTAAACCTTGACTCTACTTTCTCTTCACAGATGCTGCTGAGTTTCTTTGGCAATTTGTGTTTTTGTGCAAAATAGCTTTATTGTTTGACTGCACTTTCAAAATTGTTTATTCTTTCTGAAGTGTTCTGGGATGTTTCTGAGATATATATAAATAGAAGGCTTTATGTATTTTGAAAACCATTCAAGTTTAATGTCAAATTAGAAAAACATGATTAATTATTTACATTTGAAGAATAGTAATGGCACCAAAATAGCGCAGATGATCTAACTGTTCAGCTGTGGATCAGTACACTTCTCATGCTGTGAACAGTTTCCCTTCACTGTAATGTATGTAGTTACGCTAGCTTTGTGCAAAACATTACAGTTAGTTTCCTGTAGAACATAAACTGTCCATTGACATATTTGCTATATTAGATTCTACTAATATTTTCTAATATTTTCTTTATTTGTGCTCATGATCTGTTGATTGTAATGGCATATGTAAAGCTACAATTGGAAAGGGAAATGAAAAGAATAAGGAATAATTTTGAGAATGGAAGCGTTTATGCTCAATTCTAATTTTCTAACTTAAGAGTGTCTGAAAGCCTTGGGACATATGGAGCTTGCAGCAGAGAGTTACACCAAAGTGGTGGCAATGGCACCTTTGCACCTGGATGCACGTATTTCCTTATCAACATTACAACAACAACTAGGGCGACCGGAGAAAGCTCTTGAGGCTTTGGAATCAATGCATGATCCTGAAACTCTAGCACATGATGCAAATGCAGCTCAACAGGTATGAAATGTAATAACTGACTAATTATTACTACAAGACCTGTATTTCAATGTAGTTCATACCAGCAACATAATGGATGTCTTAAAATGGCAGCAAATATTTGATTTGCCACTATAAGAAACTTAACAGCACAGAAGGAGAATATTCAGCTGATACTACATGGGGCTCATGGCACAGCATCTAATGAAAGAACTGGTATTTGATCGTTCACCCTACTGAAATTGCCTCGTGGTTTCGAAGGTTTTAATAAAATCCACTGCTGCTGACTTACGCCTCCTCTAGAAATGTAGAGTCTATTGGTGAATAATTGCTTAATTAAAATGATTATTAATCACACTGTTGAATAAATGACTCATATCCAAAAGATTGTTGTGTCATGTCTGCTTGGCAACTTCGATGTTTGTTAGTTGGTGGATTTGCAGTTTTGTTGGGCTGCTAAACTAAGCACAATCTGCTATTGAGGTATTCAGTCTAAGGAAGACAAGGAAGAACACAAAAAACAGACATTGCCTTGAGAAATTGATAAACCATTGACAGATTAAAGTCCGAATACTCACAAAGAAAATGTCATAACATCTACAGAATGGTTTTGGTGGGGAACAGTACAATTAATGGTACTTCTAACAACTGTCATGTTATACTTTCGACCATGTAATGCTTGGTATAACCTCTGGAATAAGAGATTGTCAGTAACCCATTTGCAGACAGTATTCTACAGGAAAATTGGATGTCTCATTTTTTTCTCTTGTCCAATTAATGCTTTCAATTGTCAGGTTGTTTAAAGCTTAAGTTTTGTCTTGTATATCATTCAGGAACTGAAGCTGTTACTCCATCGCTCTACCTTACTCTATTCCCAAAAAAAGTTGCCAGATTATGTGGATGCTTTACTTGCAATGCTAGCAATGCTTTTAAAGGTGAGTTGGAATCTTGACAAGCAAAAAGAAAATTGATATACAACTTGCAATATCAAAGTGAAGTAGTTTCTACTTGCATGTGTGCTGATGGGTCTTCTCAATTTTGCAGCTGTTCAAGTCTGCAAAAATTAGCATAGGAAAAATTGTGGATATGTTGAAAAGGCTGGATTTTTAGAACTATATGAAAATTAGCAAAGGTTTACATCAGGTAAATGGCCGAGTGGTATTAATGCTAGACTGTTAATGTAGAGACCCAGGTGATGTTCTGCAGACCCGGGTTCAAATTCCACCATGACAGATGGTGAAGTTTGAACTACATAAAAATCTGGAATTAGGAGTCTAGTAATGACAATGAAAGCATTGTCAATTGTTGGGGAAAATCCATCTGGTTCACTGATGTCCTTTAGGAAAAGAAAGTGTTGTCCTCGTCCGGTCTGGCCTACATGTGACTCCAAGCCCTATATGTGGTTGATTGTTAACTGTCCTCTAGCTAGCGATACCCACATCCACTGAATGATGTTTCAAAAATCACACTCTCCTGAATACAATGACGTCTTTAAAAATTGCTCCTTTTTGTCATTGTCATTCACTGTTTTAGAATCAAGTAAAACTTCCAAAACTCATTCAGAAAAGTCAATAATTGAGGTTGTTGGCTTGCTTGCCGAGCTCCTGGTTATCATACAGGTGTTTTGTCACCATGCTAGGTAACATCATCAGTGCAGCCTCTGATGAAGCAATGTTGTTCTACGCCACTCCAAGTGGCGTAGAACAACAATCGCTTCATCGGAGGCTGCACTGATGATGTTACCTAGCATGGTGACGAAACGTCTGTATGATGACCAGTCAACTTGGCGAGCAAGCCAATAACTTCATCCGCAACCCGAGCTACAAATCTTCGCAAGAAGCTTAAAAACCTAATAATTTGTATCTTATTGTTTAAACTATTCATGATGTCACTCCATGTTTAAGGAGAACGTTTGGAGTAGAAACTACATCACGTTGGAGAATTAGCAGTTATTGATCTTTATTTGCAAGAAAATTGTGCTGAAGCAAAGAACAAATGAAATTAATTTTTCTTGTAGGTCGCAATGAGCAGAGCGCAAGTTTCATTGGTTTCAAGTTCCAAAAGTGGGGAAAAGCACCTATATCTTGTAAAGGACTTGAGAGATAAAATTAGTGATATTGATGATCAGGAAGCTGCATATTTGGATGTTAAAGGTAAAGAATAAAACTTGTAATCATGTAGTGTTTAGACTTAAAACCACTTAGTCCAGTCAAACTGATCTGGTACCAGTCTACAGTGAGATCCAAGACTAAATTGATATGATCATCTGTATGTCAGTGTGTCATAACATTGAGAAAGTCTACAACTGAATGCATTTGACTTTAACAGTTCTCTGTCCTCTATAAATCTTTATGACATTTCTATTCTTTGTACTGTAACCTTAAGAATGCTGTCTGAATTATGCCACTTAAATTGACATAAAGTAATTTAGTATGTACTGTGAGTTTGTGTCCCATGGAAATTGACAAGTTGTCAATTCTCAGCTAACTTAAATGCTATAATTCAGGAGTTGATGAAGAATTCTAACAGCATCACCCCAGGTTTGTCTTAGGTAATGCACACTGCATGTGATGCCTATATGTGCCACAATCCTCTTTGCAAACTCCGACTAGGATATCACTTGGCAATGTTGGGTGTAATCTTGAGGAATCAGGCAGCTGCCCACCATTATGATATAGTTTGAGTTTTGCTGATACTTTTTGACTAGACTGGAAATTACAAAATCCCTTGGTGAATATATATTTTGCATTGTATTCATGTAATAAAACAAAGCCTCTCAAATTCTGTTTCTTGTGGTTGAGTTGTTCACTGATCAATTTATTAACTGCATCAGGCACCTTAAGGGAAGAAATGGTATTTTTCTCTTGCAAACAAAACACCCATTGAAGGTACAGTAAAGCAAGAGCTTTTTAAGGAAGCTTTTGAAGATGACAATTAACAATACGGAGGCAAGGAGCTTAAGTGTTAGGGTGATACTGTTGAAAGTTTTGCTAACTTAAGATGGACAGAAAATGTAAAAGATGTCAAGGGACACATGCTAGCACAGGACAGAAGGATGTTGCAGATGTGTTTTGGATTATGGATAGACTTATAAATGAGATGTGTTGGAGAATAGGACAGTAATTCAGGTAGACAACGATATGGTTAATCAAGAAGCAGAATGTAGACAACAGAAGAATGGAAATGGGGGAGCTGGTGAGGAGACCTTGAAATATTCGGGTGAAATTGACAAAGATGTAAGGCAAGTAATGCAAGTGCAGCGGTGGGAAATAAGACAGAAATGTTGGTGATAGTAGAATATGGGCTGTGAAATTCAATTTAGGTTGAACAAGAGGACTGCTTATCATTGTAAGATAGGGGTGCTGGAACTGAGTTAGTGTGTGAAATTCTTTGTGGGAATCAGGTAAGATTTATATCTTCATTTCAAACCTATTTCCAAATTCTTGGAGTAATGAAATTGGTGATTAAATGGTGAAACCTAAAGAAAATGATTCAAATTGCATATAAAAATACAACAAACGCAAATCTGACGATTGTTCATTTATAGTTTTACTGTAGAAATGATTTAATTGTGAGAAAAAGTAAAGACTGTCTTTTTTTAATATCTATCAGACATTTATCTACTTTATTTGTTGCAGTTCACTAAAATATGAATTCCAGTAGATTATTTTGGGGTAGCAGTGACTCCGATGTGGTATGTCTAGTGATAATACATTAAAACTCCAATGATTCTGTGTGGCTAATTCAATGTCTAAGCCAATAGGTATGGATTTTTGCAACAAATTGATCAGCCAACCTGCCTTATAAATAGGATACGGAAAAGTACGGATGTCATTAGCAGTTTGAATTCTTTCCGTTTAACCCAATACTTTGAAAGTCGATCCTTTAGTTAGTGACGTAGAGTAAAATTTGGCAGAAATCTGCAGGCTATGATGTAGTTTTTGGATTAGACAGCTGTACAATGACTTCAGCCTACTTATACAGTCATCTTCCCGCCACCCCCTCTCTAACCAAACAACACCAGGCTGAATATTTTAAAATATCAGACCTCTTTATAAGAACATCATTTTGTTCTATAAAAAAGGGAGTGCTTTGTACAACAATACCTATGCACACCTTTTCCCCTATTAAATGCTATCTTTTTAATGGGTAATTACATCAAATATTTGCTGCCATTTTAATACATCCATTATGTTGCTTGTATTGATGCATCATTTTGATTTCATTTCAGTTCTGCAAATAATCATAGAATCCCTACAGTGTGGAAACAGGCCCTTCGGCCCAACAAGTCCACACCAACCCTCAGAGCATCCCACCCAGACCCAACCCCCTATAACCTACCTAATCTACACATCCTTGAACACTACAGGCAATTTAGCATGGCCAATCCACCTAGCCTGACATCTTTGGACTGTGGGAGGAAACTGGAGCACCCAGTAGAAACCCACGCAGACATGGGGAGAACGTGCAAACTCCATACAGACAATCGCGTGAGGCTAGAATAGAACCCAGGCCCCTGGCGCTGTGAGGCAGCAGTGCTAACCACTGAGTCACCGTGCTGCCCTGGTAATAAACAATAAATTCTTTATCTGGTCTCATATTTGAACAGGTAATTTAAATGTGTCCATATCATTTTTTACCCAGGGAAAACTAGTGTACTGAATAAGGATGACTGGTGGAATTTATTGCTAAAAGCTATTTACACATTATGTGACCTCAAACGTTTCAAAGAAGCTGAACTCTTGGTTGATTCTTCGTTGGAATACTACTCATTTTATGATGATCGGCAGAAACGGAAAGAGTTAGAATACTTTGGCCTGTCTGCTGCAGTTCTGGATAACAACTTCAGAAAAGCGTATAATTATATCAGGTACTTCAGATCAATCCATTCCTAGTGTCACAATTTGGTGAATTTTAATTCGTGAAAAAGCACATTATTTACATTAAGTTCAAATTAGCTATGGCTGTGTATGTGTCAGCCATCACTCCGTTGGTATCATTCATACCTCTGAGTCAGAAGGTTCTGGACTCCAGTTGTACTCCTGGACTTGAGCACTGAATTCAAAGTTGACACTCTATTATAACTGAGGTGGTGCTGCATTGATGGATGTTGATAGGAAGGTAAAAACAGAAGCCATACCTGCCTCCTCGGGTAGATCTAAAAGGTGCCACAGCACTGCTTTGAAACAGAGCAGATGAGTTACGCCTGGTGTCCTGGCCAATATTTATTATTCAGTCAACATCACGTAAACGTATTCTCTGGTGATTAACTCACTGCTGTTCGTGGGAGCTTGCTATCTACACGTGGACTGCCTCCACTTCTTACATTGCAGAAGTTACTGCAAATCAAAAGCAATTCCTGGTTACAGATGGGATAGAGAGAGGACGTTTTAAAAAAAAAGGGTAATAGGATGTTGCATATTGATTAAAAAAGTTAGAAAAATTGTAAAGTGGGATGATATGTTAGAATGATTATTAAATGAGACCATGTGGTTTGAACTGAAAAAAAAGGGCAGTCACTGTTGGAAATATACTGCAGACCCCTAAACAGTCGGAGAAAGATATATGTAGGTACTTTGTTGAGAAGTGGAGAAACAGTATGGGCAATAATGCAGGAATATATCAACTACTCAAATATTAATTGATGTAAAAGGTGAAAAAAGCATAAAATACATTTAGGAAGGTTTTTTTAATCCAGTAAGTGCAGGCCCAATAAGATGAGGGCAGTTCTGCATGTAGTTTTCCACTCCGTATTACAGACTTCTGAACAGCTTTTTCTTTAGTCTAGCATGGTAAATAGGAGTCATGACCTGGATCTGAGATAATTGACCTCCAGCAACCACAATTATCATCTTTTGTGCTTGATGTAGCTCCAGCCAGCAGAGAGTTTTCTCCTTGATTCCCATTACCTCCAGTTTTGCTAGAAATCCTTGATGCCATATTCGATTGAATTTTGTCTTGATGTGAAGGGTATCCATTATCCATTCTCACTTCTCCTCTGCAGTTCAGTTCTTTGGTCCATGTTTGGACTGAGGATAAGCTTAGAAGTCTCACGACACCAGCTTATAGTCCAACAGGTTTATATGAAATAACAAGCATAGCCCCTTCGTCAGGTGAAGTGCGTACATCATGGACTAAGGATGTAACAATGTCAGGAGCAGAATAACTCAAAACTGAACTTCAGTGAGCAGCTTCTTCCTTAGCAGAAATTACTTGACAGCACCGTCAAAGGACCTCTTTCATCACTTTGCTGATGATTGAGAGTGGACTGAAAGAAGGTTTATTTGGCTGGGTTGGATTTGTTCTGCTTTTTGTGGACCGGATACTAGGATAATTTTTCACATTGGGTAGATGCCAATGTTGTAGTTATACTGGAACAGCTTAGCAATGGGTGTAGCTAGTTCTTGAGCACAAGTCTATCGTATTCTTGTTGGAATGTTGTCCAACAATTCTAGACCCATAGCCTTTGCAAAATTCTGATTCTTCAGCTGTTTCTTGTTTTCAAGAGGAGTGAATCGAGTTCACTGAAGACTGACATCTGTGATTCTGGGGACTTTGGGAGAAGGCTGTGCTAGATGATCCACTTGACACTTCTGGCTGAAGATAAATGAAAATGTGTTAGCCTTGTTGATTGTACTGACGTGCTGCCCCCCCCCCCCCCCAATATTGAGGTTGGGATATTTGTGGAGCCTGTGCATCCTGTTAGTTGTTTAATTGCTGCTTGTATAGTTTGATAAATAGAGGGTATTTCAGGATATTCCAGGAAAGTATCAATAGACTTGTCAGTGGACAGAAGAGTGACAAATGCAAGTCAACCTGGATAAGTGTGAGGCCAAGCAAGGCAACTTAATATAGAATAACTGATATATTATTATTAATAACTGGATACTGAGATGTCCAGAAGAATCTTGGAGTGCATGTCCATAGATCCCTGATGATAGCAGAACCAGTAGATAAGTGCATTATTAAGGCACGCTGGATACTTTACCTGACTAGCAAAGGCATAGAAGACAAGAGACTGGAACATAGGCTAGAATGTGAAAAAAAATTAATTAAGCCAAGCTTGAGTAACGCATAGAGCTCTGTAATATGGAAAATAAATTATTGTACTAGAGGGGATACATTTATAAAAATATTGTAAGGACAGGAAGATGTTATCTTTGAGAAAATATTGGATAAATTGGAGTTGTTTTCTTGGGAACAGAGGAGATTGTTGGAAAATTATAGATGTTGATTGTAACAAAATACTTTCACTTAGCAGATAGGTTAATAGCCAGGGAGCATAAATTTAAAGCAATTGAAAGAAGGATCAGAGGAAAGTTGAGAACTTCTTCTCGCAGGAAGTGGTGGAGATCTGGAACTGTCTCACTGTGAATGAGAGAGAGGCAGAAACATTCATCACATTTTAAAAAAATACTTGGATGTGCACTTGAAATGATTCTTACAAGGCTTTGGACCAAAAGCTGGGATGTGGGATTAGGCGTGATGTACCAAATAGACTTTCAGCTTGTGACCTTTCTGGTTACTGTCGTTTCTTTTTTACTTTGTCTTCTCCCTCGTTGTCCATGTTATATGCATTTTTGTGTTTTCACTGACAAGTGAACTTAAATGCTTTTGAAATAAATCGAGCCTAAAGAGTCCCAGATAGACAGGATAGTGAAGAGGGCGTTTGGTATACTTGCCTTTATTGGTCAGTGCATTGAGTATAGGAGTTGGGATGTCATGTTGTGGCTGTACAGGATATTGATTAGCCACTTTTGGAATACTGCGTTCAATTTTGGTCTCCCTGCTATAGGAAAGATGTTGGTAAACTTGAAAGAGTGCTGAAAAGATTTACAAGGCTTTTGCCTGGTTTGGAGAGTTTCAGCTATAGGGAGAGGCTGAATAGTCTGGGGCTGTTTTCCCTGGAAGTTGAGGGGTGACCTTTATAGAATCATAAAGGGCATTAATAGACTGAAAAGCCAAGGTCTTTTTCACAGGGTAGGGGAGTCCCACAACTAGCGGGCATTGGTTTAAGGTGAGAGGGTAAAGACATAAAAGGGATCTAAGAGGCAACTTTTTCACACAGAGGGTGGTGCATGTATAGAATGAGCTGCCAGAGGAATTGGTGGAGGCTGGTACAATTACAACATTTAAAAGGCATCTGGATGGGTCCGTGAATAGGAAGGATTTAGAGGCATATAGGTCAAATGCTGGCAAATGTGTCTGGATTAATCAGGGTATCTGGTTGAAATGGAAGATTTGGACCAAAGGGTCTGCATCTGAGCTGTACAACTCTATGACTCTGATTCATTATATCCACTAGAGGGCTGACTTGCACAGCTTTCATAGGGAAGATTTTTTTGAGGCTTTTTGAAGTCTGGGCAATAAGCTTTTTATCTGCATTGTTTGTAGTGGCATGATTTGTTTATACTGCACCTTAATGCTGCAACTTCTTCAATTCTTAAACTAGGCAATTTTGGACACAGGGAAGAAATGGCCACACCATTTGCTAGTTTTGTTTTAAAAACAAATAACTTGTTGTGAAATTGTTTCATATATAAAGTAGTTAAATTCGTCTTTGCCCAGAATTCAAAATTCTGGGTTCTTCTTGTGATGAGAATAACATGGTTCTAAATCAGCCCATTGGAAATTTCGACGAAAAGAAAAAGAACAAAGTAGAAAAGAATTCCTAACTTTCTATATTGGCTGTTGATCTTAAAATGCCTTATTTTTAAAATTCTCATCCTTGTTTTAGTCTGTCAATGGTCTTGCCCTTTCCTTTCTCTGTAACCTACTCCAGCTGTACAAATCTTTGAGATTTTTGCTCTCATCCACTGCTCTTGCACATCTGATTTTTTAATTGCTGCAACTTTTATGACTATGTTTCAGCTACCAATTCACTCTCAAACTCTGGAAATCCCTCCGTAAATCTCTGTGCCTACCTCTCTCTTTTAAAACGCTCCTTAAAACCTACCACTTCGTCCAAGTTTGTGATCGTGTCTTGAATTCTCCTTCCGTAGCTTGATATCATTTTTGAAATTATTAATAACAATCCTGTTAAGTACAAACAACTAGGATATTTTACTACATTCAAGTAATATACAATTGCACATAGCTGTTTTCGTCAAAATTGATGAGTTTGATGACTTTTCAATTCAGGCCAGGTGCCCATTTTGAATATGGTCGAATGTATCTTTTTTTATTTTGTTTATGAGACGTGAACTTTAGTTGGTACTTTATTGCCCATCCTTAATTTCTCTGGAGAATGCAGTGGTGAGCTTTGTCCTTGAACAACTTCTTCCCATGGGTAGGGACACCCACAGTGCTGCTAGGAAGAGAATTCAAGGATTTTGATCCAGTTACTGTGAAGGATCCAAGTCCAAGGGGACCTTTCAAGTGGTGGTGTTCCTGGACATCTGCTGCCATTGTCCTTCCAGGTGGTGGAAATTTGGAAGGTGCTGTCAGAGGAGCCTTGATGAATTACTGCAATGCTTCTTGTAGATGATACACTCTGCTGCAACTGTGCTTCACCGATGAAGGGAGTAAATGTTGAAGGCGGTGGATGAGGTGTCGAACAAGTGGGCTTTTTTTTTCCTCAATGGTGTCAGGTTTCTTGAGTGCACTCATTAGGCAAGTGGAGAGTATTTCATCACATTCTCGACTTGTGCTTTGTAGACAGTGGACAGGTATTGGCAAGACAGGAAGTGAATTACTTGTCACAAGATTCTGAACCTCTGACCTGCTCTTGTAGCCACAGTGTTTCTTTCAATGGCCCATTTCAGTTTCTTATCTATGGTAAATCCCAGGATATTAATAGTGGGTGATTCTACTACTGAATATCAAGGGGCAATTGTTAGATTCTCTCTTGTTGGAGATGGTCATTGCCTGCACTTGTGTGATGCTTATATTACTTCTCACTTATCATCCCAAGCTTGGATATTTTCCAGATTTTGCAGCATATGGATATAGAATGCTTCAGTACCTGAGGTGTCATGAATGTTGCTGAACACTGTGTGATCATCAGCAAACATTCCCACCTCTGACCTTATGATGAAGGGAAGGTCAATCATGAAGCAGCTGAAGATGGTTGGGCCTAGGACACAACCCTGAGGAACCTGAGTTGTCCTGCTTCTGGTCCTGCACAGGCCATATACGTGGTCAATTTTCCACATTGTCAAGTAGATGCCAGCGTTGTAGGTGCGATGGAACAGCTTGGCTAGTTTGGAAGCAAATTCTGGAGCAGATGTCTACAGTACATTTGCTGGAATCTTGTCAGTGCCTCCAGCTGTTTTTTGATATCACATGGAGTGAGTCATATTGGTTGAAGACTGGCATCTGTAATGCTGAGGATTTCTGCAATAGGCTGCGATAGATCACCCACTTGTTAATCACTTGGCAAATACTTCAGCATTGTCTTTTGCACTGATGTGCTGGGCTCCTCCATCATGGAAGATGGGAATATTTATGGTGCAAATATAGCATTGCAAAGCACTGTTCAATACCTTTGCCCTTCAGTTTACAGTAAATATTTCAATATAATTTGTCCCTATCCTGAGCCTGATATTTGGAACATCTAAAATCATTATGATTATCTAATTTAAAAATACAATTAAAATGTTTGTGTTAATCTGACAATGGTCTATGTTATTGCTTTAAACGAAGTAACCTGACATTTTCTTTGTAGCAGATAAATATCTCTTAATTCACAATTTAACTGCTTTGAATAAAAAGGCAGACTATTTAGAGCACAAGTGAAATTTTCCTTTAAATTTTAAAACTTAAATAATCCAAGCTATCTTCAATTCACTGGAATATTTTCCCCATTTTTAACAAAATGGTAAGCAAATCAGTAAGCTGATGTCCAGCCAGTGTTGATGGATTTCTATTCCTGGAAAGTGCAACTTGTAATACTGGTTCCTTTTAAATATTGTACAGTTGCTGATTGTCAGTTTTCTTGTTTCAAATATAAAGTAATGATTACTGCTATTGCCTCACTAATTAGGTTACTGAGCCTAGTGCAGTACTGGGCATACACACTGATTACAAACCACTGTTCAAATGTTGAACAAACTCAAACATGTATACTTATCAATGGCCAAATTTTATTTGGTTCTTTTAGTGCATTGTGATTTAAAAGATCACACAGAGACATTGTGAGGAACATTAACTGTCCTAAGAATGTGTTCACAAAAGGAGATAAATTGAGAACTGTCATATTTCCCAAAGCCACATTGAGCTAAACTATTATTATGCTGATTTGAGTCGATACTGGTCTTAAATTTTTTAGTCTTAATCCTTGCTCTGCCATAAAATTGGTAATTTGAGTTGAAATGTGCTTTGATAACAATTTTCATTAAATATTTTGTCTTATGGAAACAACATTCCACGTGTCTCCTGATGAATTGACTTTTTTTTTTTGCTATTCTCTCAAGGGTTATGGTGATGGAAAATGTGAACAGACCTCAACTGTGGAATATCTTTAACCAAGTTACTATGCACTCTCAAGATTTGAGGCACCATCGTTTTTGCCTGCGACTAATGCTAAAACACCCAGATAACCATGCACTCTGTGTACTTAATGGACACAATGCTTTTGTGGCTGGAAGCTTCAAGCATGCTTTAGGTAGTAGACAATGATCATTTTGTAATATATGATTCCATATATTTGTTGGTAAAAAGACATCAATCTGAATTCATTTAGCAATTGCATTACAATTATTCATCTTCCTATATGGACATCACTGTGCAAAAGTGATGCTGAGTTTGTTACTGATTACACAAGATTGGGATACAGCCATGGGTATGATTTTGACAGTACTGGTGTATGTCTTTCTTGGGCTTTAGATGATTTTTATGAACAGATGAAGTTTTGCATCTAATTATAGTTAATAATAGTTCAAAAACTGTTGCTCACCATCTTTTCATTTCCAAAATCTCCTTTGCATCGTTTTGTCTATTTTGTCATCACTGGATGAAGTAAGAACAACAGCTAGCCTTACAATTTTTTTGATATACTACAACCCCAACTTGTGGATAAAGAAAGAATAGCATACATGACTCTTACTGCAGCACTATTTTAACTTGCTGTAGTTCTATATTTAGTTTCTGTCTATTTATTTTTCTGTCTTTTTGTCTTATAAGCACATCAATAGCACTTAATTTCCTGCAGTATTTCACAAGGTGTTAAAATCAAGTATAGTCTCTCGGTGAAGTACAGTTGAAGGGCATAGGGTGCAAATATAGTAGATTGTAAAAGCCATATATTCAATCCCCATTTCAAACCCAAATGTTTTGCCTTGTTTTCATTTATAATTTTATGTGATTCTTCATAGTTTTTAATTTTGTGTTCCCTGTCCATATTTACAATGGAACCTGCTTATGTGGATTTGTCAAACTTTAGTTACATGAGAACAAAAGGAAAACATAGCTGGTCCTGGAAATCTAAACTAAAGACAAGAGTTTGGCCTGCTGTGTTCATCCAGCCCTGCACCTTGTTGTCTCGGATTCTCCAGCATCTGCAGTTCCTACTATCTCAGATGCTAGAGAAACATTTCTTTTGGAGTTGTTGATAAAATATCCATAGTTGGCTATCACAATACATCATGACTATTGGTACTGCTTCAATAGAATTTCTCATGGTAAATTAAGCAGTGTTACTTGTCCCCAGCATGCCATCAGATTTGACACTGCGGCACTGAACTGTAAAGCCTGTGACCCTTGAATACTTAACTCCCAACAGCTGTCACAACATTTCAGCCAGTCTGCCAGACTGGAGATGAGGTTAAAAGTATGGAATGGTACAGATTCTTTTGCCCTAATATCAGCCATTTTGAGAGATTCACTTCTATTCCCAACAACTCTGCAACTTCCAGGGACACCACTTTTACACATCTGCAAGTTCTGGTGTCTGGATGGGCTTTGGAAGAGTTCATGCTGGAACAAGTCAGTGCAAAGCCTTGGACTGATTTCCCAGGCTTGCGAAGTACCACTTTTAATCAATAGGAGTGTTCCCATTCCACCGGTATTACTGGTTCCTTTTACCCCTTGCGCTCTCAAATGCGTTCTCAATATCCATGGTATCCTGAAGAGCGAGTTCCCACTGCAGCAAAGAGAAAATTAAGGACATAGTTTTGCACAGTCGGCAGACTATGCATTTGCTTTGCTTTGCTGCTGGCTGCAAGATCTGAATCAATAGACCTTATTTACACTTGGCAGCAGTGTATAACAGTCTTTTCATATCTTATCTGGCTCATATTTCCCATCACCTCCATTCCTTAAGATGTCTCCATTTTCACACGTCCTACCCCACTGTAGTACATCCCTCTTCTTTTTATTTCATGTATTGGCTTCAGGTTCTGCTGTTGGCTCCTCACGACTCTTTCAATCTAGCAGCTGCTTCTGTGTTGTAGAAACTCATTTGTCTTCCCTGTCTGTGCTCTCGCTGCACTTTTTACCTCCTGTTTATTTTCTGTGCTTGGTGCTCCTTGCTTCTGGCTGGGAGCAGAACATTTTAATGCCTGAAATGTAATTTCATTGCTACCTTCCACAAAGTTATTACTCATATCTAGTAACCTATTTGGACACTGTACTCCTTATATACCTACGACTGTTTTGCCAAATTCTGAATGAATGCCATCTACAAGTTTGCTGACGACATCACCATAGTGGGATGGATGTCTAACAACGATAAGTCAAAATACAGAAGGGAGGTAGAGGGCTTGGTGATGTGGTGCGATGTAAACAATCTGCCTCTTAACGTTGGCAAAACTGTAGAACTGATCATCGACTTCAGAAAGAAAGGAGGAACTGAGGTTGAGGGAGTGGAGAGCATCAAGCCACTCGGAGTGACGATAACCGACCTGTCTTGGATGTTCTACGCAGATGCGACGGTCAAGAAGGCACAACAACGCCTCTTCTTCCCCAGGCAGCTCCGGAAATCTGGCATGTCCATAAGGTCCCTCACCAACTTCTACAGATGCACCATTGAAAGCATACTGTCTGGGTGCATAACGGCTTGGTACGGCAACTGCTCCGCCCAGGATTTTAAGAAATTACAGAAGGTGGTGTGCACAGCCCAAACCATCACGGAAGCCAACCTTCCGTCCATGGACTCTATTTTCATGGCTCACTGCTGCGGCAAGGCAGCCAACATCATCAAAGACCCATCGCACCCTGGTAATGATCTTCTACAACCTCTTCCATCAGGCAGAAGATACAGAAGACCAAACACACGCACAAGCAGGTTCAGGAACAGCTTCTTTTTGGCTGTTATCAGACTGTTGAATGGACTGTAGCCTCAAATAATGTAACCTGCAATGTAACCTCTATGCCTCTAAATCTTTTTGATCTGTACATCCTTTGCTTGATGTCATCTGCCTGTACTGCTTGTAAACAAAGCTTTACACTGTATTTCGTTACACGTGACAATAAATCAATCAATCAATCAAAATCTATCTCTCTGCCATTCCAAATCATATATGTGAATGCGGAAGTATCTCTAAAATCCACTTCCTACCCTTCATCAATCTGAACAACACCCAGTAATCCTATTGTTTTGTTTCTTGTTTGTCAATCAGTTATTAATGCTTCCTTCTCAAACCATATTCCTGAATTTTTGTAACATCATTCTTGAGTGATATAAATCACATTGACTGATATAATTAATATTTTCAAGATAGTAATAAATGGATACGAAGAACAATTATTTAAATATATTGTGTTTCTTTCTATTTTAAATTTCAGGTCAGTATGTTCAGGCTTTCAGGATTCAACCTAATGAACCCTTATACAGTCTCTGTGTCGGCCTAACCTTTATTCATATGGCATCTCAGAAGTTTGTTTTAAAACGGCACCCTCTTCTGGTGCAGGTTTGTCAAGACTTTGAATCCAGAGTTAAAGTTTAAGATGTTTTCTTGGTGAAAATCTATCTGTTGAACTATTTTGATTTGCTGTCTTATAGTTAGGATGTGCTTTCATCTAATGTAGTATATTTATTCCTTTTGTCAAAACTTTAAGCTTTCCAAGTCCTAATTGTGATTACTGATTCTATTGATTATAGTCTCAATGCGTTGTTTAACGATACATAGGAGATATAAAAATGTAGTGAAAAGGTGATTTTTATTATTTATTTTGTATTTTAAGATGTATCACATTATATTTGTTCTGGTTATAGTGTTGAGTTGGATTTAATACATTGACCTGCTGTATTTCACATTTGGATTGGAAAAAGTGTACTTTCATATGAAGAATATATTAAAGAAAGCTCACTTTGAGTGAGAACAGGGAAGAAGCAGCAATATTTAAAGAGGAGAGCATTAAGGGAATGTGGCAAATTTTAAGACTAGGAATAGTTCAGTTTCTTGCTTGAAAGGTTGTAATCAAACAAATTACTTAAACGTGGAAATAAGAATGCGGTAAAAGCAAATGTTCTGCACCCTTGAGTGGTGTTGCATCAAACATGCTGGTCCTGTTAATGATGTGATGTCGGTTTGGAGTTGTATTTAAAATTAATGGTTAACGTAGTAACTAGAACTTAAAATTATATAATATTATTTCAAAAACAATTAAAACCCTTTACAATGAATTGAACCATACATAAAGAAATTTATGCAGGGCATGACTAAATACCCATTTGAAAAGACAGATTTTGCAAAGATTTTAAAGATGGGTTAAGATGTTGAAAAACCGTGGAACGTAGTGAGAAGGTTTCATGCAGGATTGAGGCAGTTGAAGGCTCTATCTTCTTATGGATTGGCAAAGATAATGGAATGAAAGTAACAGAATGTGGGAGAGACATAAGGCTGGAGAAATTTGGAGAATGGGTTGGGGAGACATTGAATTTGTGATTTTGGAAGAAATTTGTGAGCAGGATAGGAAAGCAATTAAACTAGACCTGTAAATAATCTGTTGTTTTCATTAGATCTGTACTCTTTATTTTATTCTAGGGATTCTCCTTTCTGACACGGTATATGGAACTTCGAGGGCCCTGCCAAGAAGTATATTATAACATAGGACGTGCATTACATCAACTGGGTCTTGTGCATTTTGCAATTCATTATTATGAAAAGGCATTGGAGCTCCCACCTCTTCAATTAGAGGTACGAAGTATGTTAGAAATCTAAACAGTTAAAACATTTTTTTCTCATACTCAACATTGATACAGAGGGTAGAAGATATAGTGGACAAACAGAGGAATTCACTAGTTTGCTGGCACCATCTCAACTTCAGGAATAACTTCTACATATTTAACAAATCATTAAATTACAGGATCATTTGATGGTTTGTGCTAGATTTCGTGCTAAATGGATTGAATTTTTTCTTCTTGTTTCTACATTTCTAATTGATTCAATATTTGTAACTTTAATTTCAGCAATCATTTGGTACCTTGAAAAGTTTTGGATTTTTACATGACTGTTGGTAAACTTAATATGTAACTGGTGTGATTTCATCCCTGGTCTTTGCATGGTTAGCTAAACACAAATGGGCAGCAATGTGGACTTCATAGTCCAGGCCTATGGATAGGAAAAAGCAGCAAATGTTTGTTAAGTTATGATATAGAATCATAGAATCCCCACCATGCAGAAAGAAGCCATTTGGCTCAACGAGTCTGCACCGACCTTCCAAAGAGCATTCCTCCCTATCCCCTTACACCACATTTCCCATGGCTATTCCACTTAACCTACACATCCCTGGACACTATGAAGCAATTTAGCATGGCTAATCCACTGAACCTGCACATCTTTGGACTGTGGGAAGAAACTGGAACACCTGGCGGAAACCCATGCGGACATGGGGAGAATGTGCAAACTCCACACAGACAGTTAGGCTGGACTCAAACCTTGGGTCCCTGGTGCTGTGAGCCAGCAGTGCTGACCACTGAGCTATCATGTCGCCCAAGAAACCCCTGCCATTGCTCACTGGAGGTCTTGTCTTCTAACTACAAAATTTTGCTATAAGCTGAACATGACCACAAGCAACAGTCAGCTTCATTAGAAAATTGAGCTGGAAACAAGACACGGCTGAAATTTAAACCCAGGATCACCCGTTTACTAAATACCCACTAACCCTCAGTGCCACCTAGTGTACAGATAATAACCCAATGTACCGGCCAGTGTTATAACTCCTGCTAGAAGTTATGTGTTTGGAAATTTGCTGAGGATAGAATTTGCTACTTTGTATAAACAGCACTTAAACATTCAATTGAAGGTTGGTTTCTTGGGAAAATGGCCAGAATTGTTACCTGTGGAACCATTACCCAAGCAAGAGTTGTTGTCACCTGGGGAGGGTGTTTTTATTTGGTTCTAATAGTCATCCCTATATTATTATGATTTTCCTTTGCATTTTTGTGCTGCACAAAATGGCTTTGGGAGTAAAGTGCTTCAGCCAATGTGTGTTTTCATATTCCAAAGGGCACTAAGATGAAAGGTAGTTAAAATGTTAATAAGTTAAGTTCTGTTGTTGTTTTGCCAAAGACTGAGTGATTCACAAGGCTGCCTTGGTAATCAATAAATACATAATTTGCAAAATATTGGTGGGCTCTTAATTCAGGGTGTGCTCAACTGCAATGGACTAATGTAGACTCTGCCCATATTCTGAACAAAAGGACGTTAACATAAAATAGAAATACATACAATGCTTTTTAAAAACTGCAGACTATGAGGACAAACTTTCCACAAGCTCAAACAGTTAGGATACAAGATGATGGTTAGAAGTTCACCACAATCATCTAGCTAAAATATTGAATTATGAAAGCAGGTTGCAGAGTTAAGGGTCAATTCAAAATTTTGAGATTGATAATTTTCTTTTATACAAGCATGTTAAGGATCTTAAATAAAGGTGGGTAAGTGGAGTTGAGATAAAGATCAGCCATGAACTAATTGCATGGCGGTGATGAACGCTAGAGGGTTTAGTC